GCCACCTGTAGCCTCAGGGATCCCCCGCAGCCGCAGGTTATTACGGCGGTTGTGGTTCTCAGAGTCCTCTTGGCGCAATTGCAGCTGCAGCATGTGAGCCTTCTGTTGCAATAATGAGGCTTCCAAAGTGGACACCCTGTCAGCCATGGAGCCCCCAGACAGTTCCAAGGCCGATATGCGGTGGTCATGCTTCTGGATGTCTGAGCGCACCTCCGCCAGGTCTGTGTGGAGTGTAGCTACCAGCTGGGCCATCATCTCCTGCATGTCTGCTCGGGTTGGCAGTGCTGCCAGCAGATCATGGAGCCCCTCACCACTGGTCAGGCCTGCGGTACAGGGAGGAGGCGATTTCGGCCCCAGGTATGGAGAGGGCACCTCGGACATCTGTTCCGATATGGAGGAGGCCGGTGAGGAGGGCGGCTCGGAGATGGCCACCAGAGCTTGCCTGTGGGCCGCGTCAGGGAGCGGAGGCCGCAGGGAACCGCCCCGCCGGCGAGTCAAAATCGAGCTCCCGGTCCGGGCGCGTACACTAGGCCCCGATAGCCGTGGGGAGATATAGGCGTCCATTCGGGCCTGCGAACGAGGCTTGGCGGAGGAGCGGGGGGTCTTAGGCTTCTTACCCGTCCTCTTCATGGGGTAGCCGGGTCTGGATTAGATTGATCTACTGATTATAGCACCCCAGGTCCGCGGAGCTCTGCAGATCAGGGTCCGCTCGCCGCCATGCTCAGGCCACGCCCCTAAACGCAATTTAACAGCCTTTGAACGTGGGATGATTGTTGGCGCTCGGAGCCATGGAGCAGAATTCATTAAATGTTCAAGAGCAGCTGTTAAAGTGTTTAAAGACTGGACTGTCAGCCGAAAATTTGGGTCTGAACGTGCGAATTGTGGCTGTCAGCGACTAGTCAATGTTAGGGCAGAACAGAGATTTGGCAAGACTGGTACAAGACAACAGAAGGGCAACAGTGCAGTGTCAGATTCCTCACATCACCTTTCAACATCTCGTGGAGTCACGAGGCGGCCCAACTAAGTCATCTCGTGGCCCAATGAAGTACTGATGGGGTGGTCATAATAATCTGGCCACTCAGTGTATATCAGGGGTGTGGAATTCCTATCGCGCGATGCCCGGGACAGGCAGTTTCGGGCACCGGGCGAGTAGTTTTTTTTCTACATTTAGCCCGGCTGCGGGCAAGCAGCACGGCTAAATGTAGTGTGGAGCCGTTTTGTACAAGTGATTTTAAACCGGCTGTACAGCCGTCCAAGAATCACTTGCAACCTGCCTGAAGCACACTCCCCTCTCTCCCTCCCCTCTCTCCGGCGGCCGTGTTCGGCTCCCGACTGCCTCTCTTGCACACAAGCTTTCTTTTTGCAGTGGTCTTTGGGGTCCCCCCCCCTCTTGTGGGAGATCCGTGACCACAGCAAATTAGGTTAGAGAGCACGGAGCAGGGTAGAGAACGCTTCTCTGCTCCATGTGAATAGTGACACAGGAATTCAGCATTCCTGATACAAGAGAACCAGCACAGTTCTGTGCTGGAACTCCTGTGTTGGAGGTGACAGCTTTTGGAGGTGACAGGTTCTCTTTATTAACCCTATCACACAAGGGCTTATGTAGTGGCAATAAAGTCATGTGGAGAAAAAAAAGTAAAAAATAAAATATATAACAATTAAAAATGGAAATACATAAAAATGGAAAAAATACATTAAAAAATAATAAAAATAAATGATGATAAAAAAATATTACAAAGCAAAAATAAAAAAAGTTAAATAAAATAAAAAAATTAAATAAGTGTGTGTGGTGGGCAATCCGTTACTGCACGGCAATCGTGCACAAAACCGTGTGGCTGGCCGGGCGGTCACAGAATTGCACACAACCGCCGATCGCGCTGGTAGTGCCATTATTGTCTAATGGCACCCCAGTCGCGCCAGGCAGATTGCACAGTTTACCGCCGTAATAACGCCCGTGTAATCGAGGTTGAAAACACAGCACGGTGTGCGTCACTAAAAAAGGTGCATGTACCTTTTTTCAGCCATTACCACGCGGATGTAACCCCATTGAAATCAAGGGGGCCGCGTGGCAAGCACACAAGTCTGCACCCACCCCAAAGGGTAAATTCATTTTCCCAAGTAATTTAGGAAAATGGAATTACCCACACAAATCTGGTCCCCTCTCCACCCTGCTATACTTACCTTTCAGCGAACGGTCCTTCCCATCTGCCGGTATGGATGTACTATCTGTACCTCTGCCATGTATTCTGAATTTTGCGTGCATGAGAAGCTCTTCTTGGCACTGCTAAATACAAAAAAAAGAAAAAATGTACCCAAAACCATATCAGGACAAGTAGATTTCCATGAGGGACAAGTAGATCGGGCCCCGCTTTAGTCCTTGGACAAGTAATTTTTTTAAACATTTTCACACCCCTGTATATATATATATATATATATATAATTAGAATATCGTGCAAAAGTTCATTTATTTCACTAATGCAACTTAAAAGGTGAAACTAATATATGAGATAGACTCATTACATGCAAAGC